GTAGTAATCGTAAAAACAAATGTATAAAATACTCTCTCCATATTCATCATTTTAAATTAAATAATTTAATTTATATTGAAATAAAACCTAAACGAATATGCCATTATTATTTTTTAGATGACAAATTCAATTCTTTTAAAAATTATATTTATAGATCTAAAAAATATAACATTGATATTCATAAATTTTTTATTTTTTTTTATAAAAGATCAATTGTTTATGTATTAAAAAACTAAAAATATAAAAAATAAATGATATGAATATGTGTTATTGTCAAATACATATTTTCTTGCATTTAATCACTTTATTTAAAAACCACTTTTAAAAATATCTATCTCAAAATAAAACCTCTTGATCGTACCTGATCAAAGTTGAAATGTCACAGCTGGTTTTGAGTTGGATTTGAAGGAGATGGGGGGTACCTGCAAGACACTCTGATGGCAAAGTGAGAGACGGAATGAGCAAGTAAGTATATAGGTGTGAATGAATGAATATCTGACCCTCTCAAAATAGAGGATATTTATAGCCCTCAGCGCTGGGCCAAGGTCCTTTTATTGGGATGATCAAACAGGCCCAACAAAGGGACTGTCAGGTTCTACGTGAGTAGTGGTGACCTGCACATAGTCTCCTACCTGGATGATGCTCTCCGCATAATGGGGAGGATAGAGACGCGATCTTCCCGGGATCCTGAGGACTCCGCGAAATCCGGAGAGGTTGAAAGTCTGCCCTACGAGGAGGGTACTCGGGCAGAACTTGGATTGGGATGTTCCTCGCCGAGGACGTTCCTCGCGGGCATCGGCGGGATGTATCGCAGCCGACCAGTTACCCATGATCGGGGTGTGCTCGGAGGATCTACTGCTCAGCATGATATGTTGACAAGCTTGGATTGGGCCTCACTGGTGATTGGGCCACGGGTAGACCCAGTCCAGAACAGGAGCCCCCCAAGTCGTTGCTCCTGGTATGGGAGTTATGACTTGATTCAAGTTCACCCTTTCGCGAGACTCGCTTGCACGACACAGGGGTTTTCAATCGGGGAGGTGAGACATCGCCCGGTTCGTGATTTGCCCCGTGCAGAGATCGAGAAGTGTTCGAGGAGCGCTCGTAGAGAGGAGGTGACGCGTCAATTAGACACGTGGCGTGGCTCTTGGAAACCATAATGCCGCCCTAGGGAGTAGGGTCATCATTGTCTACACGACTAGGCGTCGAGGACGGGGGCGGTTCGTGGTTCCCCGGCGTGACATTTCATATTCCACGTCATCTCTATAAATAGGGCTTCAGGGCCCATAGTTTGTTTTCACATCTTCACGCTTCTCATATTTTCTCTGTTTTCAATCACCGTGAGTTTTTCTAGCGTCGCTGAGACTGCCGCGCTGTTTGTCGTGTGTTCATCTCCACCCCTGTCGCTCTTCACTCTTCTCCCAAGTAAGTGTTTTTTCCCTTTGATATCTCATATTGTAGATAGATTTTCATGGTGTTTTAGTGGTAGAATCTCGTGTCTGGGGATTGTGCCCGAGAAATTTAAGTACCCTAGGCACCTGATTCATGACTATGCCCGAGATATTCATAAGTTTAGGCATACGGTTTACGATCGTGCCCGTGATACTCATGCGTTTGGCTAGTAGATCTATGAACCTGGTCGGAGATTCATCCTTTCGTTAGTATGTAGGCTAGTTTTCCCAGTAGTATTCTTGTATCGGGCCAGCAACATTATGAACTTGGTCACGAGATTCATCCTTCGCTCGCGATATTTATGCTATGCTCGCGTCGTTCATGATTGATACACGTCCGCCGCTGAGGTTGGTGTTTGGTCGAGGTCCTCATGTTCCCTGTTTTTCGTGTGAATGGTCGTTGACTCGGTCTGAGTGTTGCTTACTTCTCCCCGTCTTTATGGCGGAAAAGCGGATTTGCTGTCAAATTCACTGGTTTCCTGTACTTTGCAGGTAAATGGCCGATATTCCTGAGTCTTCGGGGCGTAACGATGTCGAGGAAACAAGCACTGCGGAGGAAACCATCAACCTGGTCGACACCGTCGATGACCCCACTCTGGATTGGGTTGGTGCTGAACCCCAGGTGAAACAACCGGCTGAAAATCATCAAAACAATGAAGTCGCCATCGAACGTCTTTTATCCCACATGTAGGGAAAGGTAAACATCGAGAAAACCTGAGAAGGGAGAAGTCACGGTCTTGCGACCGAGAGATCGGGTAAGGGAGTCTGTTACGCGAGGGGAAGGTATTAACACCCCACACGCCCGTAGTACTCTACGGTATCCACTCTTGTTATCTATCTTATGGGTGTGTTCAATCTATGCTCACTGTCTATTATACTACTGGAGGGAAAATGCATGCAAAAGAAAGGAGAAAAGAATGTAGGGAAAATAAACTTGTGCTCGTTCGGGCCCTACCCCGATGCCTACGTATCCCTTTTAAGGAATCAGAGCAGCCGTAGTTCGGCTCATATGTTTTTGTTTGTTTGTGTTTTTTATGGACGAAGTTAATTCCGTCTTCTGCCGCAGCTCGACCTTTGGAGACTTATGCGTTGGCACAGAAGTAAATTAATCGTGTCCTTACATGAAAAGGTTTTTTTTTTAATGAAAGGTGCTCGAACGCACAAAAGATTTGAATTTGTTTTGTATTTTTGTTGCAGATAATGACTAGTCGACCTCAAGAGAGAGATATTAGCCATTTTTCTACTTAGCTATGAAAGGAGTTTTTGAGAATTGAACCACCTCTATGCTTGAGATGAAGAACAATAAGATCGAGAAGAGACCCGCTTATCATTTCTCGTACTAAGCAAAAGCATGATTCTCATCAGTAATTTTAAAGTGTTTTGAATTTCGAAAAGAAAAAAGAAGTTTTAGTTTTAGATGCGTATGCAAAAGGGAAAGAAAAGTTAAAGGGGAATTAGCCTATTTCTAAACCTAATGTTATTGTGTGAATTTGAAAGCCTAATGTCTAATTTTAGTTCAATTAAATCGAAGATTAAATTTGAACCAAAATCTCCTAAGGAATCATGAAATAATATACGAACAAGTAAAATTAGGCAACAAGTGTCAAAATATCGCATACAATCCATAAAAATTGCAAGCGAAACACATGACATAAAAATGAGTAAAACTAATGATTAAAATTGAAAAGAAAAAGTGAGAGAATTGAAAAGAAATCTCTTTTATTTACCAATATTGCCAAAAATAAATCGCCAAAATTAATCGCAAACGCAATCGAAATGAGTATGGGAAATAAGATCTCAGGAGGTGCGAACTGAATTTACTATGTGCTGCAAAAATGCAATGACATTAGGCCCCATCAAAAATAGACACAATCAGCAAGAAAATAAAAATAATCATAGTCCAGGAATTGATTAGTTTGGCCCATGTTAATCATTCTTAGTTTTATTAATCATCATATTATTATATTTATTTGTTGAATTAATAATAAAAAGAATAGAACATGCAATAGAAATACTGGTTCAGAAAGAAAGAAATAAAACAAAAAAACAATTAAAACTAAAAATAAAATATAGGAAATTCAAAAAAGGGGTTTAGGGTAAAAGAGAGAGTTGTTCTCTTCATCTCCTCTTGCGACTCAGCGGCGGCGCTCACCACCGTCACCCTCGCCTGTGTTGCTCCGTCTCACTCTCTTCTTCTCATCACCGCGCTGTTCTCTCAACCTCGCAACCATGGCGTCGCTCTTTTCAGCATCAGAACCACCGGACAACACCACAAGCCTCAGCCTCATATCCCTGCTTCTCTTCTCTCAAAAATTTCTTCCTCACTCTCATTCAGCACCGTTCGCTGCCACATGACCACCGACGGCCAACCTCTCTGTAACCCATGAACTCCCAACACCAAACGCGGCCAAAATCGTTCCTCTTCAAAACTTAATTAGATGCTCCGAACAAAACCTCATCATACGATTCCACAACAGTTTAATAGGAAAGGATCTTTTCTATGCGAAAGTATCATGATCTAGGTGAAAAAAGGAAGAAGCGAGAGACTTACTTACGGAGAAGTTCTGACGAATCTTCAATGGCATTGGTGTCGCAAGAAATTCAGAGGTACTGGTACGCTTCCTTATAGTTGCTTCAGAGTAATTCCCATTTCTTCTTCTACTTCTTTTTCATTTTTTCCTGTGCATTTCTGTGTTGTTGATATTCGTTTGATTCTGTTACTGACGCGTGCAATATTGTTGTTGTTTTATGAAGCGGAAGTGTTGAAGATGATGTGTGTAAAGTTATTGTGTGAAGATTTCAATCAACGACTCACATGTTTGGTGAACACATGAGGATGCGTAGAGATGATGAAGTTCTTGAATCAAAGATGATGTGATGAAGTTTAAAGATGATTGAAGCAGTTATGGAGTAGCAAAGAAGAGAGAATCATGGTGATGGAGGATGAAGATTGAGATTGCAGAATCGGTGAATAATGTTGAAGATTGAAGCAGAGAGAGAGGGAGAAGATAAAATTTCTGTAGTTTCTTGGATGTAATTCTTCTGCCAGTTCCAGAATGAGATGATTGAGAGGTAATAATTTCTTTTTCTGTGTTGAAAAATCCTATTGTTCTATTCTGTTAATCTCTGGTATATATGTACTGGCAGTTTGTTATAGGAGGTAGTTAAAAAAAATTATGTTAGGAGGTTAAGATGCAGTTAGGAGTTTGTTACAGTTAAGTTAGTTATGGTTTGGGAAATGCAAAGTTGGTTACAGTTAGAAGTTAGGGAAAAGTTAGTTATGAATGGGTATTTGTGAATTCACTTTTGGTTTTTGTTAGCTGTCTGCAGTGTGGACTGTTTTTGAGGATGGTTAGGAGGTTAGCAATTAGTTATAGATTTGTTAGTTAGTTGGTGATTCTGTTAGTGGTTTTGTTAATAGTTACAGGGCTGTTAGAATTTTTGGGTTATGGAAGTTAGTTATCAATCTCTTAGAAAGTTAAGAAAAAGTTGTTAGGTTATAGGAAATGGTAGTCATTCTGTTTTTTTCGGTTATTGTAGTTAGAGAGTTTGTTAGTTGGTTTCAGTCTTAATGACTGAAGAGGTTCCTTCATTTGCAGATTGACCTATGCGGGGAGGTCTTCTTTCGCCACTTTTTTCTCTCAACTTGGCAGGTTCACTGGGAACCGGAGATGGTGGATGTCTTCCTGGTAATGGAATTCGCAACATCTGCAGTGCGAACATTTGGAGATCTGTCGCCAAACCATTCATCCTTTTGATATCAGCTACCTCAACTCCATACTTAATTGCGACACTAGCAAGAGTATCAAATTTCGAAACATAATGTTCAATATAACTCAGCCCATTACCACCACCAACATCACCCTTGCTGCTACCGTTCTGCAACCCATTTGACGGTGACATCTACTCCGATCAACCACCGACAACAAAGATCTAAGATCTAAAAACACAAGAACATGAAATTGACTTGGAAGAAGAAGTTGGTGAAGAGAAGAATCGTTTCAGAAAAAGAAAGCAAAAGAGTCAAAGAAAAATCTAATCTTGAAGAAAGAAAATGAAAGAAAAGTTGAAGATGGAATTGAAAATACAGAAGAAGAAGAAGAAGAAGAAGGTTAGTTATAGTTTATGGTGCTGTAAGTTACTTTTTTATAAAATTTATGTGCAGGGCTGCCTTTATTTTTTTTTTGGGTTACGGAATTGGTTTTGACGATTGGAAGTGTAGTGTATGCGGTTCATGCTTATGACAGTTTATCCAATATTTTTGCAGGTTTGGTTCATATCAGGGCTATTGGGAAGCAAAGGCAAAAGGAAAACACCAAGATGATATGAAGTTGGAACAAAGACGCATAACACGAAGTTTTGGAAGCTTGAAGTTTGAAACATGAAGAATGATTGAAAATTAGGATAGGTTTTGGTAAAAGTGTATAGATGTTATGTATAATTGTAATGGAATTTTGGACTTGTATGTATTTGAATACACATTGGAATGTATGTTGACTTTATTTCCACATAATGAAATGGCCTTTGTATGAATTCAAATAAATGGTATGAATCCAAAATATTTGCAAGGTAACCAAAAGAGACATGAATCTTGAATGAATCCAAGAGAGGCTATTTGGACGATATTTTGATGGTTGGATGAATTTGATGCATGCTTTTTCATACTTGTGGTTTGAATTCCAAGAAAAGCCGCGCAAATATTTAAGAACTTTGATTTTCTCCAAATCCACTTCAAATATTAATGAATGAATTCTAATCAAACTACAGCTTCAGTGAATCCCTAATTCAATTCAATTTTTCCAATCTAAACCAAATTTGCGTGTCAAGCAAATAAGCATCTGAGATAATGACACCTTGATCACAATCAACATCTTGTACCATGTCCCGACTATATGAGCACTAGAACAGCGACGTCTTGGACCCCTTCTCAATAGATGATAATGACTATGCCCTGAGGGATTCCTTGCAGATGAATATGAAAGATGAGACATGCGAATACCTTGATATGGAATGAACCTCAGGTAGAATGCTGACAAGCTCAAATATGAAAATGTATAAACCCTGATTTTTAGCTTCGTCTCATAAAACCTTGCAACTTGACATTGAGAAGAAAAGAATAGCCCCGTAGCTTGATGATGATAAGGTCCATGAAATGAAAACCTAGCTTCAAACAAATTATTAATGGAGAAATCAACCGAAACAAGCTTGTGCGAAGATGGGAGCCTTAAAGCCATACACCAACCCTTATTCCTCGAAATCCATGATCTTATGCCAATTTATCAATTAATGATGCATGATGTGTTAGACGACCTAATGTGAGAAAAATGCAAAAATGCGTAAGCCAGATAGGAAGTAAAAGGGTAGGACAAATTTGGGGTATTACAGCTGCCCCTATTTAATTGTCTTAAACCTGAAAGTACGATTGGCACATGCCTTTCGGAAGTTCAAGGTTGAAGATGATTAAATATCAATGCCAAAAATTTGTCCTGAGGGAGAAAGAGTGTTTTCTTTATTTATTTATTTTGTGATCTGCTGGGGAAAGGAAATTTGTTTTTTTCAATGAAGAGACACAGATTGGACTTGTAACGTGGCGTGATGCCAATACAAGACAAATGGTTAGTATGAAAAGACAGCGGACGAGGTCTACGGGCGACCTACGATCCGAGGGTGACACATGAGAGTGATTTGACAGAGAACCTAGCCAAAGGGCGATCTCAGGTTCTAAGACAAAGTATATGGAAGGAACCTAGCCAAGATGCGATCTCAGGTTCGACGATGATTTGAAGGAAGAACCTAGCCAAGAGGCGATCTCAGGTTCGACGATGATTTAAAGGAAGAACCTAGCCAAGAGGTGCTCTCAGGTTCGACGATGATGTGAAGGAAGAACCTAGCCAAGAGGCGATCTCAGGTTCGACGATGAAAACATGGGTTATGACATGATGATTGTTTAGATAAGCGACACGGACGAGCATCAAGAAAGGTTAAACACGGACGAGTGTTTGAATCAATACGGACGAGTATTGAAAGAAGATACAGGTGAGTATCAAAAGGTTAAACACGGACGAGTGTTTGGTTCAATACGGACGAGTATTGAAAAAAATATACAGGTGAGTATCAAAAAGTTAAACACGGATGAGTGTTTGATTCAATACGGACGAGTATTGAAAGGAGATACGGACGAGTATCAAAAGTTAAACACGGACGAGTGTTTGATTCAATACGGACGAGTATTGAAAGAAGATACGGACGAGTATCAAAAGGTTACACACAGACGAGTGTTTGATTCAATACAGGCTAGTATTGAAAGAAGATACGGACGAGTATCAAAAAGTATAAACACGGGCGAGTGCTTGATTCAATACGGACGAGTATTGAAAGGAGATACGGACGAGTATCAAAAGTATAAACACGGACGAGTGCTTGAATCAATATGGACGAGTATTGAAAGAAGATACGGACGAGTATCAAAAGGTTAAACACAGACGAGTGTTTGATTCAATACGGACGAGTATTGAAAGGAGATACGGACGAGTATCAAAAGTTAAACACGGACGAGTGTTTGATTCAATACGGACGAGTATTGAAAGAAGATACGGACGAGTATCAAAAAGTTAAACACGGACGAGTGTTTGATTCAATACGGACGAGTATTGAAAGAAGATACGGACGAGTATCAAAAAGTATAAACACAGACGAGTGTTTGATTCAATACGGACGAGTATTGAAAGAAGATACGGACGAGTATCAAAAAGTATAAACACGGACGAGTGTTTGAATCAATACAGGCGAGTATTGAAAGGAGATACAGGCGAGTATCAAAAGGTTAAACACGGACGAGTGTTTGATTCAATACGGACGAGTATTGAAAGAAGATACGGACGAGTATCAAAAAGTAAAACACGGACGAGTGTTTGAATAACTGACCCGGGTGGGTGTTTAGGAAACTTGACACATACGAGTGCTTAGGAATGGACACAAACGAGTGTTTAGGGATGGACACGGACGGGTGTTTGGGAATGGACTACCAGGCAAGAACTGGGTTTAGAACGGCAAAGTGTATTGATTTTTTTTGGCATTGAAAAGGTGAAGGTCACTGATTGGGGATTTTGGGCATGATACCCTCCTGTAGGGACGTATTGTTGTCCTTGAATAATTCAGGTCTTTCGTGTAAGGTACCTGGTTTGGCTTATGCTTTGTATGCATGTTTGAATTTCTTTTGACGCAAAGATCCACTCTGATGGATCAGCTACGCGCTTTTGAGGATGCAATGATATGTAATGATAACTATATGCAATGCGAAGAAATAAACTTCATGGGGATAAGAGAAGGCTTGCTGGGAGCCATTGCTCATCACTGGGGATGCCAATATATATCGACGTTGGAAGCCTGCAGTACCAAAGATTGATGGGGGTACCGATAAAAATTTGCACTGGGGAGCCCATGATACCGAAGATTGTTGATGACTCCACTGAAGACTGAATTGCTGACGAAGCGAGTCTTCAGGTACGATGCTGGATTCTGAATCATACCGTTGGGAAGAGATAACCTGGCCAGACTTCCAAACATCCTGAACCGTTGAGGGGGTGATATAAGTGAATATGCCGAATAATGGATATTGAACACCATGTGTATCCCTCCGAATACATGTCCCAAGTTTACGCACATTGGGGAATTTCCTCTTGAATCACTTGGGGAATCAGAGATGGGCATGGACACTTACGAGTGCCCCGGTTTAGCTCTGTGAATGCCTCGGTTTAGCTCTGCGAATGCCCCGGTCTGGCTTTACTGGGGATGCTCTTGATTAACTCCACTGAGGATGCACTTACGCGTGCTGAGTCAAAAGAAGATTCTAGACTTTCTGAATTCACTTGGGGAATCAGATCCGAAGTTGCCTGTAGTAGATGGAGGCAGTTTCACGTGTTGGCTGGGTTGGGGTGACTGTCACAAATTGCTACCTGCAAGGAAAAAACAACATTCGGAGTGCATATGACATCCCCGCATGGTTATACATTGACGTGAAGTCACGTTTTACCTTGGCTCGAGAATTTTTATTCCCCATGTTTCTAACGCCATGTTTAATTATCAAATAAAACATATTTTGCATACAAAACATTTCATGATAATAAGAGGCAACTTTGATGAAAATAGATTTTATTGATTGGCCTGTGAATAGGCATGCGTACAAGGAAGCAACTCCTATATGAGGTAGCTGCAAAATAGAAACGAAAAAAGTACAACAAGCGTAAATGGCAATGAGAGATGCTCGAATTTCCATTAAAAACGGTATTGCTACAGTTCCCATATCCAAAGTTATCTCAATGCCTTGCCTCCGAAGAGTAGTAGTTGGATTGGTCAATTCGCTGCCGAGGTGCTATAGATGTGCACGTGTCATTTGTGAAGAGCATTCAGACTGCAGCCTCTCGCTTAAAATCCCTAATTTTTGCTTGGATCGCCCTTTCAGGTTTTCGACCCAACGGGATACCCATTTTTGCTTAAGTCGCCCTTTCGGGTTTTCGACCTAGCGGGTTGTTATTTTTTTCATTTTATCCCTAACTTTTGCCTGGACTTTTGTGCCCACCGGGATGCCCATTTTTTGCCTAAGTCGCCCTTTCGGGTTTTCGACCTAGCGGGTCTTTTTATGCGTAGAATTTTTTGACTGAGTCTGAATTGACTGGGAGCGGAACGTCTCCCCCATCCATATTTGTCAAGATTAAGGCACCTCCTGAAAAAGCTATTTTCACGATGTATGGTCCCTCGAAATTGGGAGTCCATTTGCCCCTTGGATCGGAATGGCTTTGTATGATGACCCTTCTTAGGACCAGATCACCAGGATAAAACTTTCGAGGACGAATCTTTTTGTCAAATGCTCTTTTCATTCTTTGTTGGTACAACTGGCCATGACA